ATAATTTGTAAAATAATGTAAAATTTTTACGATTTCAGATGTTATCGTTTCTGCTTTTCTGCTGAATATTTTATATGAAATATTTATTTTATTTTATTTAAATATTTTCTTCACATTTTAGTCATAGTTTTTATTAAATTCTATAATTAAGGTGTGAATCACGTCTTAACCCAAGGTTTTGTAAATCCGAGGGTTGGGGTGTGATAGGTGTAGGGGTATTTGGGTTGTTTGTGTGATTTTGTAAGGGTTTAGGGTTCATAATGTCATTTTGTAAGGCTTTAATGGCTATGTAAGGGTTAATGGTTGTGAAATATAGGAGTGGCAATGTGAGTAATTTTAATGTTTTTTAATTATATTATTATAAAATTAAATATTATATTTTCGTCATTGACTTTATCTAGATTAGGTAAAATGGGAGACTTTGGAAAAGACCAAAGGACAGAGAAATTTTTTAAAAGAAGTCAAAATGGACAAAATTACCCTTATTTGTTTTTGGATTTTCTAAGGAATCCTTTACATTTGCATGTCTTTGGTTTGAAAATTGAGAGGTTTTTATGTCTTTTTTGAAAAGGTTTTGGCTTTTTCCGAAAGTGAAAAAATTTTTGTGGCTAAAACCTAAATTTACTAAAATTTATATTACCACCTACCACAACAGTACATCTTGAAATTCAGGGCAGCGGAAAGATAAAATTTTCTCTAATACCAACAAATAACCTAGAAAATTTTCTGCCGCTTCCTCTATGTGGATGGTATTGTTGGCAAGGTGGAAATCTGATTTCTATCTCTGTCTTTTTGTTCATCTTATGTCTCTCATTTTCTCTTAATCATTAACTCTAATGCCTATTAATGGGTTGAGTTATGAGTTTGTTGTGTTAATGGGCTGGACTATTGATGCAGAATGCATATTATTAGTTTTCCTACTTCTATTTGGATTAGTTTTCCTAATTCTTAAAGATTCCTTCTTGTTAAAAGATCTTATTAGTTAATTTGCTTTTCTATTTCTTAAAGTTTACTTTTCCTTTTCCTAGACTAAAAAGGGTTTTTGCCTCTATAAATAGAGTTGTTTGTAATCTTTTAAGGCATACTTGATTAATGATAAATTTTCTTACTTTAAACTCTCTGATTCCTTCCTTTTCCCTTCATCTCTTCAATCTCTAATTCTTCTCATTGATCCCTTATTTCTTCTATGTTCTATTGCTCCAGTGTTTACTCTAAACCTACAGGTTGTTCTACATCAGAAACTTTGTCTTGGAACGCATGAAATTGTTCTGCAAGGCTGGCCACGATTTGGGGCGCCATGGAAGATTATTTCTCCTGGTACGACTTGACGGATGCTCATAAACTTCACATTGGTAAGATGACGCTACAGGGAGCCGCTAGACAATATTGGAATTCTGTGGAGAAACAACTATACCAATTTGGACAACCACATGTGACTCTCTGGGACGAGATGAAATTAATGCTTCGCGAACAATATCTTCCCACCTTTTATTGCCATCAATTGTATGACCAATTATGGACCATTTCACAAGGAAGTTTAACCGTTACTGAATTTCACGCTCGTTTTATTGAACACAAGATACGTGTGGGGATTCGTGAAGAACCCAACATCACTATGTCTCGCTTTATCCATGGTCTTCGTGATGATATCAAACGTGAAGTCCGGAGGTTCCATCCGCATACTTTGGAAGATACATACTGCCACGCATTGGAAGCTGAAACTTTTTTGCGTCCACAACGTCGATATACAGGGCATTCTGGGCACTCTTCCACTCCTATTCCAAACCATAGTACTCCTAACTCTAAATATGGCATTGCCAGTCCAATTGCTCCTACGATACCTGCAACAGAAAAAGGACCAACCCGATCCACGATTGCTCATATCGAATGCTATCGTTGCCACACTAAGGGCCACATTGCCTCTCATTGTCCCTGCAGAACTTTAACCCTTGGTTCCCTCAATGACGACTCTTGTGTGGACGAGTATGTGGAGCCCCTTGAACCTATTTATGATCCAAAACTTGATAATTGCTATGAGAATGATGCGTTTCACCAACTGAGTGTTATGCGTTGTATTTATTCAGCACCTACATCTCCACCTCCTGATTCATGGAAGCGTACAAGTATCTTTCAAACATATGTCGCTTGCGGTACCAATAGATGCCAACTAGTTATTGATGGGGGAAGTATGCTGAATGTCATCTCTAAAACTGTTGTCGATCACCTTCACCTTTAGGCCGAGCCACACCCCCATCCTTTTCATGTTGGCTGGGTCGATAAAACCAGATTACCTGTTACTGAAAAATGTCTTGTTCCTCTTCAATTGGGTCTCTGTCATGAGCAACTTTATTGTGATATCCTACCTATGAGTGTTACACATGTGCTCCTAGGCCGACCTTGGCTTTATGACCACCGTGTGAAAAATTGCGGCAGAGAGAACACCTATACTTTTCAACATGAAGGAAAGAACATAACGCTAAAGCCTTCCAATCCGACCATCAAACCAACTAAGGATGTTCAACCAACACTATCAATTAAAGAGAAGGCTTCGGAGCATCGATTGAGTATTTTATCAACAGCTCCTCACTGAATTCTCTGATGTCATACCTGATGACTTACCAAATGACCTACCTCCAGCAAGTGAGATTCAGCATGCCATTGACCTAGTTTGCAAATTCCTAATCTTCCCCATTATCGTATGAATCTACCTGAGCGAGTGGAATTGAATCGACAAATTCAGGGGTTGCTGGCTAAGGGCTTTATTCGTCATAGCTTAAGTCCTTATGTTGTTCCAGTTCTCCTTACCCCTAAAAAGGATGGCTCCTGGTGAATATGTGTGGATAGTCGCGCCGTAAATAAAATTACAGTTAAGTATCGTTTCCCCATACCGCGACTTGAGGATATGTTGGATGATTTGGTTGGTTCCCAATGGTTTTCTAAGATAGATCTTCACTGTGGCTACCATCAAATCCTTATTCATGAAGGAGATAAGTGGAAAACCGCGTTTAAAACCCCTGATGGCTTATATGAGCGGCTTGTAATGCCCTTTGGCATGTCCAATGCACCCAGCACGTTCATGAGGGTGATGATTCATGTGTTACGACCTTATATTGGTAAATTTCTAGTAGTTTATTTTGATGACATGTTGATATACAGCCGCTCCAACATCTTAGGATGATATTCTTTACTTTACAAAAGGAAAAACTGTATGCCAACTTAAAAAAATGTTTGTTTCTTCAACTGCAAGTTTTATTCTTGGGATTCAATATTTCTGCAGCTGGGGTTAGCACAAATCCTGCCAAGGTGAAGGCTATTACTAGTTGGCCAACACCCACGAATTTGACAGAGGCACACAGCTTTCATGCTCTCGCCTCTTTGTATTGACGATTTATTCCAGGGTTCAGTACTATTATGGCACCAATAACTGATTGTATGAAACAAGTGGCTTTTCTTTGGACCCCTACGGCTGCCAAGGCCTTTACAATTTTGAAGCAGAATATGACTCAAGCGCTTGTTCTTTGACATCCTGATTTGACTAAAGTTTTTGAAGTCGCATGTGACGCTTCCGGAGTTGGGATTGGTGGTGTGCTTAGCCAAGAGGGACATCCCGTAGCATACTTTAGTGAGAAACTTAATGAAGCAAAGCAACATTATTCTACTTATGATAAGGAGTTTTATGATGTGGTACAAGCACTTCGATATTGGCAATATTACCTACTGCCAAACAAATTTGTTTTGTATTTAGATCATCAAGCTTTGAAATATCTCCACTTTCAACACACCACCATTAGCAGTCGACATGTTAAGTGGTCCGAATATCTCTAGATCTTTACATTTGTTTTACAACACCGTCCAGGCATTGACAATAAGGCAGCTGATGCCCTTAGTCGCGTGGCTACTATTTTGCACACAATGATAGTTCAAGTAACCGGGTTTGATCGTATTAAGACTGATTATTCGTCTTGTCCATATTTTGGAATTATTTTTCATGAAGTTTCCAATAGTAACCGTCGCAAGTATGTAGACTTTATTATTACAAGGGGTGGGTTCTTATTTTGAGGAACACAATTATGTATTCCTCGTACTTCTTCCGTGAATTCCTTGTTTGGGAACTACATGGTGGCGGCCTCGCAGGACATTTTGGCAAAGATAAGACTATTGCCTTGGTGGAAGATTATTTCTATTGGCCGTCCTTAAAACGTGATGTTGCTCATCTCATCTCCCAATGTCGCACATGCCAGCTAGCTAAAGCTCGCAAACGTAACACAAGTTTATATACCCATCTACCAATACCTCATGCCTCATGGAAGGATCTTAGTATGGATTCCGTGCTTGGCTTACCTAAGACTAGTCATGGCTATGACTCTGTCTTTGTCGTAGTTGATCGTTTTTCTAAAATGGCACATTTTCTGCCTTGTGCCAAAAATATTGATGCTTCTTGTGTGGCCAATTTATTTTTTAAGGAAGAAGTCCGTTTGCATGGCCTCTCTGTCTCTATTGTTTCTTATCATGGAAGCCTTTGTGGAAACTTTTCGGTACTACTTTGAAGTTTTCTTCTGCTTTCCATCCCCAAACATATGGTCAAACTAAGGTGGTTAATCACAGTCTTGGTAATTTACTCGGCTGTTTAGTTGGGGTTGAACCTAGTAATTGGGATCTCTTGTTGCCTGTGGTTGAGTTTGCTTATAACACCTCAGTTAATCGAAGTACCGGTAAGAGTCCTTTTGAGGTTGTTCATGGGTTTTCTCCCCGATCACCTATTGATTTCATTGCTCTTCCTGTGACTGCTCGCGCCTCAGATTCTGCTACGTCGTTTGCTGAACATATTAGGCAATTGCATGATGACGTCTGTAGGCAAATATCCATGCACACCGACACTTATAAGCTGGCAGCCAATGCTCATCGTCATCAACAAGAGTTTTAGGAAAGGGATTTTGTTATGGTGGATTTGTCTTGAGCGTTTTCCTAAGCAATCTTTTAAGAAGCTTCATGCTCATTCAATGGGTCCTTACCGTATCATTAAGAAGCTTGGGTCCAATGCTTACTTGATTGAGTTGCCCACATATATGCATATAAGTCCCATCTTCAATGTTTCTGATTTGTCTCCTTATCGGTGCACCTTTTCTCCACCTATTTCTATGGATGTTGCTCAAGGTTCCACTCCTCCTATGGTGCCGCGTATTCCTTCTACTAGTTCTATCCCTACGTATCAGATTGAGGACGTCTTGGATCATGAAGTTGTGGCCTCGTCTACTGGTGGTTCTACTCGTTATCTAGTTCGTTGGGTTGGAAGGCCTACTACTGAGGATACTTGGATTACAGAAGCTGAATTTCGCCAATTGGATTCCACTCTTCTGCAAAGTTATCAAGATGCTCTTCATGATCTTGATTTGGCTGCATCTCATCCTCCCATCATCCATACTTACAAACGTCGTCATCATCCGTTATCTTGGTTTAGTCGCCGGTGTCGAGTTCTTTTTCGGTGGGGGAGAATGATGCAAAATGCATATTATTAGTTTTCCTACTTCTACTTGGATTAGTTTTCCTATTATTAGTTTTCCTAATTCTTAAAGATTCCTTCTTGTTAAAGGATCTCTTATTAGTTAATTTGCTTTCCTATTTCTTAAAGTTTACTTTTCCTTTTCCTATACTAAAAAGGGTTTTTGTCTCTATAAATAGAGTTGTTTGTAATCTTTTAAGGCAGACTTGATTAATGATAAATTTCCTCACTTTAAACTCTCTGATTCCTTCCATTTCCCTTCTCGATCTCTAATTCTTCTCCTCAATCCCTTATTTCTTCTCTGCTCTATTGCTCAAGTGTTTACTCTAAACCTACGAGCTGTTCTACATCAGTTATTTATCAAATGTTTTAAGGTTTTTTTTGTTTTGTTAATGGGTTAGGTTGTTAATAGGCCTTTTAGTGTGTTAATGGATTGTAGTTAACATTTGTGAAAGTTTTAGTTCAAAATTTTTTGGTTTAAAGCCAAAATTATTTTTATTTATCTATATATATAAAAGCAAAGGCAGAGAATGGTGAAACATTCAAAATACTAGAAAATGTCATTATTTAATAAAAAATATTAAGAATTAAAATTATTTATTAAATGAGGATAATATGGTAAATTCACACATTTTCATTTAAAAAATTAAAATTAAAAAGTCCTATTTTTATGGACAACACTACCTATTATCTTTTTCATTCTAAAATAAAATATAATATATAAAAAAAGATAATGGGTTGTTGTGTTCCATAAAAATAGAATCCATTATCTGATTTTTCTTTGAATTTTAATATGAAAAAGTATGAATTTCTGGTATTTTGAATGTTTTACCATTCTTTGCCTTTTGCTTTATATATCTATAGATAATGGTAAAACATTCAAAATACTAGAAAATGTCATTGGTTAATGCAAACATTAAGAATTGAAATTATTAATTAAATGAGGATAATATGGTAAATTCACATTTTTTTCATATTAAAAATAAAATCAAATAATAGGTCCTATTTTTATGGAACAGAAACTTGCCCTTGATTAATGAATTTATTAAGCATTGAAACTTTTTTATTAAATAAGGATAATATAATATAGTAAATTTTTTTAATAAAAAAACCCAAAATAAGAACATGAGGTCCTATTTTCATGGGACACAACTTCTCTCTGTTTTTTGCTTTTGTTTTTGGACTCTCTCTCTCTTTTTTCCCTTTTTTTTTTTTTTTGGGATTTTCTTTCTTAATTCTTAAATTAAAAACCAATTCACTAGTGTTTGTTAATGAAATTCAATTATACCTTCGAGTTTAGTACGTAAGTTTCCCCCAACCGGCTTTTAAATCCTATATCCACCACTGTTACCCTTCAAGGATTCTTAAGATATCCTTATAGATGTAGGATTAAACCTCTTTACTTTGAATAGATTATGAACTATTGATCCATAAAACCCTAGCACATAAAATAATTTATTGTGGGCCACTGGTAAATATCCTAGTTAAATTCCAAACCCGATTAAGATCCAGTATGGTTAACGTAACTAGGAGACAAAATCCATCTTGACCAACAACAACAACAACAAAAAAGGAGGAGACCAAATCCAAATAAGAAAAAATGGGTATTAAACGAGAAATAACTTCCAACTACACTTACCTTAAAATAATAATAATAATAATAATAATAATAATAATAATAATAATAAATAAATAAACCAGAATCATTCATGTATTGGATTGTGGAGGGAGGGCCCGCTTTTACCCCATGTTAGCCTATGTGGGCGTGGCACCGGCATAGGATGTAAAAAAGCTTTCTTGAGACAAGTCTTTGCCTCTCCTTCCCCTTCCCTATATTTAAAGTTTTATTTCATTTTTTTAAATTCTTTTCTTTTTCTTTCCGTTTTTTCAACAGTTTATTTTATTTTATTTTATCCTAAAGATTGTACCATGTCGGCAGGCTGCTGTATTCATGTGGAGTTATGGACAATTTCTCAATTTTTTGTCAATCAGTCAAGAAAAAGAGAATAGGGTAAAAAAGAACCATTATATAATAAAGTAGGGTCGATGATGTAGGCTAGTAGGGACAAACTATTTTCTGGTTTTCGACCATAACAAACTTGAGTTTTAGATGCTACCAAACCACACACACCACAATGATCTTTGATTTTCTGCTGAATTCGTGTGAAGGAGGCGTGTGGATGTTTCATAACACATGCTAAGGCGTCGCCAAAAGTCTCCATAGCTCTCCTGCGTTTGTGTAGCTTTATATCAAGGGCACAAGTTGGTACAAAACAGAACTTTTAGTTGGTACTTTCAATTATTATGTACTTTTCATTTTATGGTACGTGTTATAACTCGTTCACCTGTTATAACATAAGTGGGCGTATATTAAGCCTCTTAACTCTTACCTATATGATGATGCTTAATCGACCACATCTTTATTGTTGATGAGTCGAGCGTCCCATATGTTAATAATCAGGAATCGCCCACATTTGCATACTATCACTACTCCATTGTTAAATTTAAACAGAAAAACAGAAAAAACCATATCACTACTCCTTGCGTCTTTCCCTCTCTCACTTTGTCTTCCCTGCCTTATTGATTTCATCCATAATAATATGATCAAGAAGCAATCACGCATGCATTCAGGATGGCTACAAGCACAACACGCGTGATTATACTAAAGTAAGTATAAAAAATTCAATTCAATCCTCCACTAGACAAAATTTGAGGTCGCATATGTTGAACCGCACAACCAATTGCAGACCACCATTAGAAAAATCGAAACATATCCATAAATTTTTTACAAATTTATAAATAAACCCAATCCTAGACATGTATTTATAAAAAAACCCAAACACTATTTAAACATAGAAACACACCCAAAATCAACCCCAAAGTCAACTTTTTGGGTGTGTTTATAAATGGGTTTTGAGTGTGTGTAATGATGGGTTTTGGGTGTGTTTATATGTTTAAATAGTGCTTGGGTTTTTTTATAATTTCAGACTCCATTTTGGGTGTTTTAGTGAAACTCCCTAAATTTTTTGACACAAAATGTGCGATCCATATACTTTTTTGTCTGAACCAACCACTCTCTCTGTCAATGGGCTCTAACCTAGTAAAAAAGAATCGTGACTTATTAGTAATCTCAAATTTGAACCCCATTACACCTTGACAATGTCGTAAAAAAACCCCTCCTTTCTAATTTTGGGCCAAAAAAGTAAAACATCCTCCCTCTACATGGGCTTTACACCTTTCCTGCCGGAGAAAGGGGCCACCGTATGAGACAGTGAAAAGATGGACTTATCATCAAAATCAGAATCTTCATGCGCACAAGGAGGACCCACTTTTACACTGTTTTTGGAGTCTACGTGGGCGTGACATAAGATGGAAAATGCTTTCTTGATATGATATGCACGAACTGACCCTATAACATCTTGGACAGGAGAAGGCTAATTTCGATTGGAAAAGAGATGGGCAAAGTTTGGATTTTTGCAAGATATTTGTTGATTGCATATGGAGAGAAGAGGAACAACAACAAAAGACCAAGATAAATATGTGAAATTAAAAAAATGGTTAGATTTGAAAACTGAAGATGAAGAGGACCCTCACTCTGAATCATACGAAATTCATAACAATATACACTCAAAATCAGGCACACAAATTTTCAGCCCTGCTTACAGTAAAACTTCCTTTACTAAGATTTCCCTTCTTTGCTTGTTTTGTTTGAAATAGAACCGGGCCGGGTCAGACCAAAAAAAAAAAAAAAAGAACCGGGCCGGGTATAATCCAGTTGTAAAAAAAAACCGACAGTAAATGAAGAATAGAGTTCAAACTCAACTATGACATCTGCTAGACCTAATTGCAAAGGAAACAGAGCATTATAACTCCAACAGCAACATTGCATTTGCCAAGCAATTTGCCTGAACTTCAACGATCAGTTAAAAGCGCAGATCGAAACGAAAGAAACTACAACAAGGGTTGTTAAGGATATACCATCTCAACGTTTACACATGTAATTAGTGAAATGTATGTACTGCAAATTCCATTCTTGCCTACATCTTTTGAAAGTTAGAATGCCCCTGCCTGACGTCAGTGACATGCACCTTGTAATAAAAGCAATATTACAATTGTGTCACTACTCACTAGCACAAGTATAATGGTGTTGCTGAGGGAAGCAGAACCCAAATCAGTCACAGAAGAGGGAAGGAGCTATCAATTATTATAAGAATAGCTAAATCCGGCTGCTTAAACAATTGCATCCTAAGAGATTAGTATACGCAGAAAATCTAAACCAATTTGATGGACTGAATATGCATATAAAGCATTTATGCATATAACCACAATTGCTAGGCATGCCACAAGGGGGTTTTATAACTAGTGAATTTTAAATCATAAAACGAAAAAAAGAAAAAAAAAAAGTAAGACTTTCTTCGCACAAATATATATGTATGTATTTACCTTCACTCGAAAGAGCAGATGGAGGAATTTACGTGAGCATATCAATAGAAGGTAAATAAAGGGCATGGTAAATTATTCCCATGGCATACAAAATAATCAAGAAGTAAAGGACAGCAAAAATCAGGGATGCGAATGACATAACGCAAAGTACCTACAAGCAAACGAACCTTCTTGAATTACTTCCAAAGGGACCAGTCATGAAAGCCGAGTTAACAAGGATGGTCCGACCAAAAAGTTTAGCTCCATTCATTGCTGATATTGCTGCATCAGCTTCCTCAAATGTCTCATATTCAATCAGCGCATTACCCTGAAATCGTTTAGCATTAATAAGCATAAACAGGTATCTTACGTTTTCTTACCCTTTTCTTAAGTAAAGCCCTCTATTGGAGTAAATAAAAAATAAAAAATAAAAATCCAATAAATTATATGGTCCTGGCATTCTCTTTTTATTTATTTTGAAGATAACATTTTTTAATCAACAAAATACAGCACAGATTGTGGAGGAGCCCACCTCACCACCTCAAAACGGAAATTACCACAAGTGACACTAATGATGAACAACAAACGAGATTCTGATCAAGAACTACATCTCTGCTGCCTTCCAATCTAAAAATAATGCAGAATAATGTCTTTAAACTCTCTAGAAACTAATGCCCTTAGAGAAGACCGATTTCCGATCCCACCTGACTATAAACTTAAAAACTTTTCTTCATCATGAGTTGGCCGACCAAAAGATTAGTTCATAGACCCAAACACTTCCAGTGAATGACAGAGCAGCATCCATGCAGATGAAGCACGAATCAAGTATATAATCCATCCAAAAATTCAGCAATTGGATGCAATGAAAATTAAACCTCAAAAGAATTTCAAATGGAAAAGTGTACGTTTATAAACAGGCAAAAAAAAGTAAGATATGCAAAATGACAGGTCATAGATTTGAAAACGTCACAAAAGAATAGGCATGTGAAAGGGTCTATATTGTGCCTAAAATTCCTAACCAAACCACAGTACGATGACTTGATGGGATATGAATCATAGGATGTGGGTAGTACCTTACATAACTGACTGAAGGTAGCCATGGTTTATGGTTTCAGATGACCAATATATCCATCGTGATCAACAACAACAATAACTTTTTGATAGGAGCAAAAACATTAACTTGGAAATGGGAATCTCAGCATTTGATTCCCATGATGAACATAAGAATTAAGATCCAACTAAATTTTCATGCACATTGCAAGACCTCAAAGATCCAGATAATTGGATTTGCATTTGCATATTGCAAGACCTTGAACTCCAACACCATTTCACATTTGATGAATCTGAATGTGAAAGAAGATACTTTGAATACCATCTTAAGGCAAGAAAACACTACCTTAAGGCTTCAATCCTATATAATAAAACCATTAGTGCTCAAACAGAAGCATCACCTAGGTTTTGTCCGAAAGCATCAAGATAAAAATAAAAAAACTTACCTTAGCAAATCCAGTGCGACGGTCAAGATTCATATGCAAATTCTTGATTTCCCCATAGTCACCAAATACATTCAAAATATGATCTTCCTGTGCCTCTTCATGTATTCCAGTGATCAATACAATCCATCCTTCAATAGCTGCATGCATAATAACCCAAAAGTCACCCAGAAATAAGTCAACCTTACTAAGTGACAGCAAAAGGACAAACATATTTGTTGAATACCAAGAATAAGAGTTGGACTACACATTGCAGCAAATGAATCATTAAGACCCATAAAAAATTACATTACCACTCCTCTCATTGTAACAATAGAAAGAGACAGATCATGATACCAAAAAAAATAAATTGAAATGTCTCTGTACGAAGACAATTCATCCCACAAGGCTTTCATCATAGTGAGATAGGATGAGACGGAAATTTAAGCTTGATGAAGATCTTTCAAGATAGCATCCAACAACCACAAAAGAATCATTGTAATGTAATGAGCCTAGCTGCATAATCTGGTGAAGAGCATCAGATTGTTTGACAATACCATCAACAAACCCAAGTTTGTTTTTTACTGTAAAAGCCATATGCACCGTCATGCTCCTTGGCTGATTGTAATAACCACCAAGAAGAGTAGACAAAAAGAAAAGAATTTTTAGAATATAGAGGGATCCCTGTTGGGTCATTAAGCATTCTGTTTTGTGCACCCTATCTTTTCGAATCACAAGGAGCCACTTTTTTTCATTTAGAGTTTCATAACAACCTTAGACCATAATCGTATGGAACAAAGTGGTAGTTCTGGTCTCCTTGGAACTTAACTTCTGGTCTTTTCTTCCACTTGCTAACCAGAAAAGAAAATCGTTCAAAAGCAAATACAACATAAACATAAGTTCTAAATATTCAGTCTTGTTACTATCATATCTCGCTGACCAAATAAAGAGCCTTGTCCCTTAGCCCTAAACCCAAAACCCGAAACCAATTAGTATTAAACTGAAAATCATATTAAATCTCAGAAACAGCCAGGTGTAGTTTCTTGGATCCAAAATAAGGAAATGTCATTTCATTTTCGTTCATCTTTCTCTGCAACCAAACAAAGAAGTCCACAAAACATTACAAATCAAAAAGAAAATTATGAGGAAATAAAAAATAAAAAGGCCTAGAAGAAGTTATAAAACACGTAAATAGCCCTAATAATCATTTTGTTAAGCCTAAAACAAAATAAATAATAATTACAAGCACAAAAATTAAGAATTAATATCCAATCAAACGAAGCCTAACAACTAAATCAGTCTCGCTCTACAGTTATTTCCCTAACTTCAATCCGGGACCAAAACAGTGACATTTGGAATTATTCACAACTAAATTCCCGTTATCGAGCATTTTCCGAGCAACCAAACAGAAAATCGAGCATCAAAGAAAAAAATGCCGAATCCGAAGGAAATGACAAATAGAGCAATGCGAGAGAGAGAGAGAGAGAGAGAGAGAGAGAGAGACTGACAACGTTGAGGAGCGTAGCCTTGAGAAGGGGGCTCATTCGCATCGAGGAAAAATGGATTGTTTGGGTGGTCTAGGGTTTTGGATTGTGATCTGAGACGTCCTCTTTCTCCTCTGCCTATGGTTCTCCTAGGCATGGGCTCAACGACTGCGTCCTCCATTGAAAAGTCGTCGTCGTGGCCTTCCATAGCTTTCGATCTCTCTCGCTCGCTCTCACTGGTCACTACCGAGAACCAAATGCTTTTTGGTGCAATTAATTAGGACTGAGTACGGTGCTTTCTTTTTTACTTTGCGGGTTCCCGCCAGTTCCCTCCAGTCTCTGTTTGTCAAGCGAACGAGTACATACATTAGTTGCAAGCAACCCGAATAATGCTACGTCACTAGCGAGTATTGAAACACTTGTCATAGCGGTATTGGCTAATAACAACAAAATACTGTTATTTTCATTTAACAAAAGTCTTTCGCCGGAGTGAATGATGCAATTTTCTCTGAACAAATAAAACGCTCTTCTTCTGTTTTTGAATACAAGCGACAGTCTAAATTATAAAAACGATGAAATTTGCTCATACACACACTACCAAGGTGCCATGAAAAGTTCGAATATGAGATCATTGGTCTACAAGTCAATATCCTTTTCTACAATGCTAGACTCCGTTGGGAATTAGTTAAGGGTTTTAATCACATGTGTAATACATAATTTTTTAAAAATTATTTATCTTATGCATCTAATAGATGGCTGAAATTAGAAGTCTTTATCTAATCTTTTACATAAAATTTTAACTTGAGAAGCTCTCATAAAACAAAAACACTTGGTTAATAAATTTACCACAAAAAAGGTTTGAAAACCTTTTCGATTCCTATGGTTTTGTTTGAAATTGCAATTTGGTTCTTGTTCTTTTTTCTTTTGTAATGAACCTAAGGTTCTTGTGTTTTAATCTATTAATTATGGTCATTTTTGTCTAGTTTGAACATTAATGTGTGCAGTTGCATATGTAGAGACTCGAACACATCGAAGTAGATTAACGTTAAATAAAATTGGCTTGTTAGATATACACACATTGATGAAATTGTTCAAATTCAAAATACATTGAACAAAATAAAACGTCGAGCAAAATACAGGAAAAAAAAACATATTGCTATTTGAGTTCCAAAATGAAGAAAACATAGCCATTTGAATTCCAAAATGACAAAATACTTTGCTGTTGTTTTTATTCTCTTATAAAATGAGTGTCCAGATATAAGTTTCTTTTTCACTTTACCCACCCCCCTACCTACCTACACGCACAAAAACTCAAAACTCTAATGAGAAATGTTCGAATCCAGCAACATGCTAATCTTATCTAGCAACTTTTATTTAGTAAATTTTATCTTTTTAAACAAAGTTTTAAATTATATATATATATATATATATATATATAACTAAAGGTTAATTTCGATTTAGTACCTAGAACCTTAAGGCATGTTTGCTCATGCACTCTCAATTTTAACAATTACATACCTTAAACTTTTTAATTTTTTGCAATTTGGTTCTAGCATTAATTTCACTGTCAAAATTTCAGTTAATTGTTTGCATGACAGGCCTGGGTCTCACCTATTCGTTTATTCGATGTCAGTTCAAGAGTGTCTCCACGCCCATAAAGAACACATTACATGCATTGATACCAAACCATTTTTGAACAAAATACCCAAAAATACCATTCAACTGACATTGAAGGAAGTGAATAAGTGGGACCTAGGCTTGCCACACAAGCAATTAACGGAAATTTTGACAATGAAGTTAACGCCAGAACCATATTGCAAAAAATTGAAAAGCTTAAGGTATATAATCGTTAAAATTGAGAGTGCATGAGCAAATATACCTTAAGGATAAGAGTTCAGGTACTAATTGAAATTAACCCTAAAACTAAACATTACAATTAGAAGATTATTGCTTATACACAAATCTAAGAATTTTAATTTTAATTTTAAGGTTACAGTTTAGTACCATATAGTTACACCCTTAAGTTAAGACATGTAAGTCTCTATCTTCTCAATTTTAACAATCACATACCTTTGTCTTTTAAATTTGTTATAATGTGGTTCTACTGTTAGAGTTTGTCAAATCTCTCTGTTAGTTGTCTACGTGGCACTATGGGTCCCACATTTTTCAAAATTTAAAATGTAAAATTGATTAAAATATTAAAAACCAAAAAAATTTATTTTACGGAGTTTAAATGTTAATTATTTAACAACAAGTACAATTTATAGTGGGTTTACATGTTGTGAACTTCGAAGGCGATGATTGGTAAAATGATGTGGGCTTGTTATGCACGCGCGCAGGCGCAACAATGGCACCAATGGCATTGTGAATAATATAATAGAAATAGGAGGGACACGTGGCATTTCCTATAACAGAATTCTCACCAGAAGAGAAACAACGACAGTGTGCCATCTCTCTCTCTCTCTCTCTATATATATATATATATATATCAAGCTCCAACACCCAACCCTCAAACCTATACCACAGCCACCCTCCAACACAGAGCAACCACCCAGCGCCCCCTTCCCTATGACCACCACCTTCCAACCCTCAACCAAGGGTGGAGGCAATTGGGGACCAGTGCAGTCACTACCCCCCACTGAAATTTTATTATAAAAAAAAGAGTAATGCTAAACTTACCACATTTTTATCTCATATTTCTATACCACATGATGTGGCATGTCCATATTATATGTCACATCAATTAAATCAATAAAGTGTATTTTAATTAAGACAATTAGAAAAACAAATATTAGAATAAATCATAAAAGAAAAGAAAATATTAAATAATTTTAATTGACGTGGTTGTCCACCTTAACTGCTACATAAGATGGTATAGGGATGTGATATACAAATGTGGTAAGAGTAGCATTATTCTAAAAAAAATAGTACTAGTAGTATTACGAGTCTGAAGCAATATGGATATGGGCCAAATAGGATTTCAGCCAAAAAGTGGCGTAGTCTATTAGATTTTAATTAAATTACCTGCAGCAGTGGCGTGATCTACTAGATTTCAACGTGGGCTAGCCAAATATTCTAAAATTATACACTACCCATTCCTAAAATGATTAGAATTATTAGTATTATTATATATTGCCTTCTTAAATCAATAAACCTAAGCCTTTTTCTCCTTTCGTGGGTTAGAAACACGACCAGACCAGCCAGTTGCTTGTGAGTTTTTTTTTTCTTCTCAAATTCTAATTATATTATCAAGTTTTTTTTTTTTATTTCTATTAATTTTAATGGGTCTTTCAATTTATGTGTAGATTACCAAAGGGAAAAGGCTTTGGAGATATTTGGTAAATCGCTATTCAATCCAAGTATGTATTTGTCTATCCTTTGTAATTTTTCTTGCGTAGTACGTAATTGTTTATCCCTTTAATGCAATTGTAAACTTGTGTTGGTGAAATTTTAATTTTAATTTATAAATTTCTATATATATGATTATTTATTGGTTTGATTAATATATTGCTTTGAATTGAATGCTCAATTTGCTTCAGTTTATAAGTTTGAGAAGATGTTCATAATTGCTTCGATTTAAATTTAGTTCATACATGTGTTTCAGTTATGGAAAGATTTTTCAAAAGAAAATCAAAGTCTGAGTTAGTGGAGTCGTCACTTGCAAAGAGTCAAAAGAAAAATGAAAGTAGTTCAAAATAAACTACAGAAGTTAACTTGGAAAATCTGTCATTTGATCTCGGATTACGTAATCAAATATTGAGTTACCATCCAAATGTTCGAGACCAAGTTCGAAGAGATTATTTCCAAAAAGGTCCTTGTCAACCTCGAGGGCATAATTTTCCTTACAAAAATTTTGGAGCAAAACGAAGACGATTTAATCCTGGTTGGTTTAGTGAGTTTCCTACTTGGTTGGAGTACATCATAGAAAAAGATGCTGCATTTTGTCTATGTTGTTATCTCTTTAAACCTGATATTGGAGAGCAATCTAGTGGTGAATCTTTTATTGGTGTTGGATTTTTGAATTGGAAGAAAAAAGATAGACTACAAATTCATGTTGGAGGACCAAATAGTGCCTATAATAAAGCTTGGAGAAGTTGTGAGGTCTTATTAAACCAAAGGCAGCATATTGAAACAATTCTCTCAAAACACTCAGAGCAAGATTGAATTGATTATTGAACCCATTTAGGTGCATCAGTTGGTGTTAGTAGGATACTTTTACAACAAGGGCTTCCATTTCGTGGGCATGATGAATTTGAAAATTCAACCAATCAAGGGAATTTTCTTGCATTTTTACGATGGCTATGTCGTTTCAATGATGATATAAAAGCTGTCACGCTAAAAAATGCTCCTGAAAATATGAAGTTGACATCACCTGATATCCAGAAGGACATTTCAAGTGCTATTTCAACTGAAATTATCAATGCAATCATAAGGGATATTGGTGATTCATTATTTGTCATTCTTGTTGATGAATCATGTGACATGTCTTCAAAGGAGCATATGGCAATTGTGCTACATTATGTGGATAAAGGTCAAGTAATTGAACGTTTTGTAGGTATTGTGCATGTTATAGATACTAAATCTTCCTCACTCAAGTTAGCCGTTGATCATTTCTTTTCGAGACATAGATTAAGCATCTCTAGATTGCGAGGGCAGGGTTATGACGGCGCAAGTAATATGAGAGGTGAGTTTAGTGATCTTAAAACACTCATTCTAAATGAGAATGACTCTGCTTTTTATGTTCATTGTTTTGCTCATCAACTTCAGCTAGCTTTGGTAGCTGTGGCAAAGAAACATTCAGAAATTGCAGATTTATTTACTATGGTTTCTAGTGTGGTGAATGTTGTGGGTGCATCCGCTAAGCGCAGTGATATGCTGAGAGAAAAGCATGCTGATGTAATTTTTGAAGCACTCTATAATAATGAGCTCTTAAGTGGGCAAGGCCTGAATCAAGAAACTAATCTTAAGTGGTCTAGTGATACACGATAGAGCTCTCATTATAATTGTTTAATCAGTTTGGAAAACATGTTCCCGTTTGTGATAGATGTGCTTAAGATTGTAAGAACAGATGGATCAGGTTACGAACAAAAATTTGAAGCAAAGGTTCTATTGACTTTTATGCAATCATTCAGCTTCATTTTTGGTCTACACTTGATGAAAAGAATTTTGGGAATCACAAACGACTTGTCTCAGGCATTACAAAAGAAAGATCAAGATATTGTGAATGCCATGGACTTGGTCAAAATATGTAAAGGAAGATTGCAAAGTATGCGAGATAATGGTTGGGATTCTTTACTTGATCAAGTTTCTTTCTTTTGTGGCAAGTATCATATTGAAATTCCAAAAATGGATGATATTTT